AGCCAGATTAATCCAGGTCAGGGCTGAGGGTTCTGCAGGTCAGTTTTCTGATACCTCCCCTTGCTCTAGAAGCTTGAAAAGCTTCTAGAAGGACGTGGATGGGGGTGAGGAGGGACTGATCTGCATGTCTCAGGGATCTTGACCAATTTCCAAGCAGAAGGCTTGGCATGGGGTCAGGACAGCCCTCAGATATGATAGAGCCTGATCAGCAGGAAGTAATCAGTTTGTGTTGGGTGGAAGATGGCGTAGGATGTTGGAGTGTGGAGCCTGGGAGGGGGTCCAGGGAAGGGGTCTACCTACAGGCAGGTGCTGGAAGTGGTGACCTCCACTGTGCCACCGTCTACTAGGAGGGACAGCCTGAGCCGCAGGGAAGGAGGCAGCCCAGCAGAAGGCCTGAAGGCAGCCACCACTCATAAAGCTATCAGGAAGGACACTGTGAGTAATCTTACACCCCTTGGGCCAGATAAGGGTAGAGGGCAGTCAGATGGAGAACCCAACTAGCTCCTCAACTAGGACTGTTTAATCTTTGTCAGCTTCTGGATCCCCTTGTCCAGGGAATACCCTTAGTACTGCTGAGTGAAGAGGAGGATTCATCTGGGGTCTGAGGAGGTACACTGGAGAGCGCTCAAAGAAGAGACAGATTTTGCTTTCTGTCCATAGACTTGTACATAGTTTGTCCTCACAGTTCACAGTTCCTTGGGCATCTTATGTATCCCTCAACCCCATCAACGTTCAATACCCTTTAATAAATTCACAAAAACGAGCCTAAGGACTGGTTACTGTCTCAGTGTGCAAGCGTAGAGGAAGAAGATGCATGTTGCTTGGCTGTGTAGGACTGTAGGGGGACCAAAAACCTAGCGATTCCTAAGGGGGTTGTGCTACAAAAGCAAATCCTCACTTTTGATATTAGGTTTATCTTAACGGAGCCCACTCATTTGAATGGGCTGCCTAATTCACCACATGTGACCGTACGTGCATTACTGCACATTCTGGTGTGCTGCAACACAGGTGCATTATAAATTTGCTTTGGGGGGGTCATTCATCATGAATGGCACTGCAGCGCACCAACCCCTGTAATATGCATTACCGCTACAGTCCTTATGATTTCCCTTTATAACAAGCATTTCAAACTAATACAGTATTATCTCTGAACAGCAAAGAAAACAGCCATATTACAGTTAATCTATTGAATAAACATCACTACTCCTATAAATCTTCACCAGGACTTCTCAAGTGGACGCTGGACAATTTCTCATTGCTGGGGACAATGTCACTGACTTGGTGCTGAATACTTATAAAAGTAATATATGGGTGTCACCAGAACAGGAAATATAACTAGCAGAGACAATTAGCAATAAAAAAAAACCTGGCAGAGAATTTCACACCTCTTTACCCAAATTAAAATTTGGATGAAGGTCATTTTTAACCCCTACATGGTCTAATTGTTGAAAGAGATGCAAAAATTGTTGGCACAAGATTGGCTGCCTGTGGTTGCCCTATGAAGCAGGTCCCACAGAATATTTCTCACATTAGTTTGAAGCATTGTGGAACAAAGACTGTGAATATATTATGGTGAGTTTAAAGTGTCATGATACACAGTGTGTAAGAAGATCTTCGAATAATATAGACGGTGGAGTTATTTTGAAAGGTGAAACTAGCGTGCACTCCACAGTCACTCTTTCGAAAGTACTACTTCCCAATTTATGTGGTTACATGGAAGTGTACAGGTGGCACAGAAATGCACAAATATCTGTTTCTGATGAAGTGAAACAATCTTAACTGTCTAAGGGATTTTTGTGACACATTTTTTACATGTTTTGGGTGAATTGATGTCTGTAGTAGAGCTATAGTGAAGGCAGGTAACTAAAATGCTCTAAAACTTATTATATTGGTCACTGCAAGTGGTGACCCAATGCTTAGATTCCATGATGTCAGTCATCATCCTGTCTGGTAGAAATAGTAGGTCATTTTCAAAATGTAGCGCTTAACCTTTTGGCTACATTCAGAAAATGTGGTAAAATATACAGTATTTCCTATAACATTTACTGGGCATAGAGGGGATATGAAAAAAAAAGAATAATGGAGCATCAGGGAGATCAAGGTCCACATTTTCCTAAAGTATACGTATGTAAACCCTCCTGTTGTAAAACAACCCATTCAGATTAAGGTGGAAATTAAAGGCAGAACATTTGTATGTAGATATAAAAAAAATGATGGGCGGCACAGTGGCTTAGTGGTTAGCACGTCTGCCGTGCAGTAAATGGGTCATGAGTTCGATTCCCAACCATGGCGCCTCCTGCATGGAGTTTGCATATTCTCACTGTGCTTGTGTGGGTTTCCTCTGGGTACTCCGGTTTCCTCCCACACTCCAAAGACATGCTGGTAGGTTAATTGGCTCCTGTCTAAATTGTCCTAGTTTCATCCCTGGCCATGCGGGATCTCCTGCATGGTAGGGGTTGGGGAAAGACCTGGCAACCTACCCTGTAAAATAATTGCTAAGAAAATTCATGGAAAAAGTCACTTACAATTGACGGTCCATGCAATCGCCAAGAGTCGGATACAACTGAATGGATAGATAGAGATAACAAAATGATAAATAACTTGTTTTCCTGTTTTATAAGTGATCACATTCCCTCTGTTCTTAGTTGCACAGAGAGGTGAGGGTTGAGAAACGGCAGTACACTGATCTTCCCTGTGAATGTTTGTGCTGGGGAAACGTGTGAGACAAATATGATCATTGGAAGAGACCTGGCTGAGTTCCCAGCACAGCTAGAGAACTGACTGATGCCTATTGTGGTCAGTTTTTAACCACTTGCCCTGCGGAAGATTTCCCCCCTTTATGACCAGGCCATTTTTTGCTATTCTGCACTGTGCTATTTCAACTGGTAATTGTGCGGTCATGCAACGCTGTACCCAAACAAAAGTTATGCCCTTTTTTCCCACACAAATAGAGCTTTCTTTTGGTAGTATTTGATCACCGCTTGATCACTTTTTTTTTTGTGATATAAACAAAGGCCAAAAAAAACATTTTTTTAATTTTAGTTATAAAAAATATCCAGTAAACTCAAAGTTAGTCATAAATTTAGGCCAAATGTATTCTGCTATATGTCTTTGGTAAAAAAGAAAAAAATTCCAATACATGTATGTCAATTTGTTTGTGTGAAAGTTATGTGTCTACAAACTATTGTATATATATATTGAAATTTACGCAACTTTTATTTTCTGACTGCAATCACTGCAAATCACATTTCTTGAGGTGCTAAATTGCCAGGGCAGTATAACAACCCCCGCCCAAATGACCCCTTTTTGGAAAATAGACACCCCAAGAAATTTGCTGAGAGGCACATTGAGTACATGGAAGATTTTATTTTAAATTTTTGAAAAACTACGATTTTTTTTTTAACACAACGTTGTCACTTAAATGATATATTTCTTACACATACCATGGGCATATGTGGAATAACACCCCAAATCACATTTTTTCTCCCATACTTCCATACTTCTCCCGAGTACGGGGTACCATATGTGAGAGATTTTTTGGCAGTCTAACTACATACAGGCCCCGAATATCCAATGACCACCTCCAGGCAAAAGGCAAATTTCCTCATCACTTCTTCACTACCTATCACAGTTTCGGAGGCCCTAAAATGCCAGGATCGCGCAAACACCCCCCAAATGACTCCTTTTTGGAAACTAGACAACCCAAGGAATTTGATAAGAGGCATGGGGAGTACGTTGCAGATATCATTTTTGTTACAGGGTTTTGAAAAAGAAAAAAAGAAAAGAAAAATATATTTTCATTTTCTTTCTTCATTTTCCAAAAATTTGTCGCAAGTGAGATCTGCAAAACAGTCAACATGTCCGTTATCAAATACATTGGAGTGTCTACTTTCCAAAAAGGGGTCATTTAGGGGGGTGCTTTACTATCTAGGGTCAACATTAGAAGCTTATGCCACAGACCACTCACTCTTCTAACCACTCAAGACCAAGCCTTTTCTAACACTTTTTGTTTACATTAAAAACAGTTTTTTTTGCTGAAAAATTACTTTGAACCCCCAAACATTATATATATTTTTTAAAGTAGAGGCCCTAGAAAATAAAACGGTGGGTGTTGAATTCTTTTATGTCACACAGTATTTGCGCAGCAATTCTTCAAACACAATTTTTTGGAAAAAATACACTTTTTAGAACTTTAATGCACAAAAACTCAATATATTGCCCAATTCTTTAATAACTTATAAATGATGATGTTACGCGAGTAAATGGATACCAAACATGACATACTTTAAAATTGCGCACGTGCGTGCAACAGCGACAAACTACATAAATTTTTAATATCCATCCGCTGTAAAAGCCTCTACAGGTCACCAGTTTAGATTTACACAGGAGATCTAGTGCAAAAAACAGGGCCGGTGCATCAAAGACCAGCAGCGTTTTGACAGATAAACTGCTTGATGCGTGTAAACATGTCTTAGCGCTAGGCGCATTTAGCACTTGAGCGGTAATTCATTTCAATGGCCAATTAAATGAATTAACGCCCAAAGGCTTGACACTTGTAAATGCACCTAAACTCTTGTAAAAGCGTTCGATAGTTTTACAAGCATCAGGCCTTTTTTTTCTGCCAAAACGCTGCTACCAAGAGGAGGAACATCCTGTGTGCATGAGGTCTTAATGTACACAAGAACTGGACAGTGGAGGGCACCTGAAAACTGGCATCGAAAATTGGTTTGCTGGGCAATATTTATTTATTCTATTAGGTTTTTGTAACATCTTTCTGGCTGATTGATTCAGAGTGCTGCATTATGAAGCATATAAAAATGTACACATCTAAATGTGGTTTAGATGTCCATGAGAATGAGATGAGATTTTAAGCTCCTAACAATTACATTAAAAGTGGACAGGTGTGTTAGAGGTCATTAAGAAATAACAGAACTTTTGACTTGACTCATTGTTCATTGTTGATTTTAGAGATTTCTGAATCCTGTTTCTTACTTGCAGATATGCTCTCTGAGGGATACCTTTGCAAAATTCAGTCATGGTGTGAATATGGCATGGCAAAGCTGCATTCGGAGGAGGTGACGGTGACTAGAGAAAGAAAAGAACTGGCTGGGGTGTGCACTCTTAATTATACATTTGCATATGAGACAGGCAGCAGAAGGGTCTTCAAGAGATATGGGTCTGTTGAACGAACAGCTTCAGAAACACAAGGGAAAAATCCTGTGCAAAGCGCCATGGAGCCACGGTTCTTACAAGAAATGGAAAACCCTGTATATGAAACTGATAAATCATTTCCTGCAAGTGTAAGTGCAAACTCACAGTCTAATAAAGAGACATATCTGGTGCCATCATCCTGTAAAAATATCTGTAGAGATTATAGTGATTTGCATGTAGCTGGGGATCAGGTCATGGCTATAAACTCAGTAATGACTGAATTCACTTGTGAGCCCAGCTTTGAATTTGGTGAAGGACCATTTCTTCAATCTTCTCAGATTCCCCCAGCTATGGATTCTCTAAGTGTAGCAGCAAATGATTTGCCTAGGAAGCCTTCTAAGCGTGAGTCCTCCTGCTGGAAGGCGGTCAGCATTAAAGACAAAAGCATCATGAACCAAGAGCAACCCTTGTCGAATTCCATACTGAATGAATATTTGGAAAGAAAAGTCATTGAACTCTACAAACAGTACATGATGGACATGAGCTGCAGTAAATCTCCTACTGATATTATGGCCTCAGAGCTCATCATGAACAATGTGCAGCAGATCAGTATGCAGCTGTCACGAGAACAAAATATGGAAACCAACAAAGCTAAGGACATGGTCATCAGTTTTCTGCTCAGGCTTGCAAGTGAAAAACAATCTAATTGTATCAGTACTCCTGATCTTCAGATATCATCCAATTTAGAATAAACACAGGCATAGACAGGAGTTTGCAATTACATGCAGACATCTATGTAATGATACGCATGCTCACATTGTCCTAGTGTGTAACGCACAAGGGACATGCCATTTGAGGTGATCTTGTGCTACAGGGAAGCAGGGGAATGGTTTTCATCAATATTATTTTCCCGGCAAAATTAAGTGTCTCCTCACCACATACATGGCACAAAAAAAATGTAAAACGTATGTCAGATTTCAGAGCATGTTCGTGGTATAATTTTCTCACTTTTTCTTCTATGTCTCTCTCTTCTTGACTCTTCTTCTTTGTCTCTCTCTTCTTGCCTGTTCTTCTATGTCTCTCGCTTCTTGACTCTTCCTCTTTGTCTCTCGCTTCTTGACTCTTCTTCTTTGTCTCTCTCTTCTTGACTCTTCCTCTTTGTCTCTCTCTTCTTGCCTGTTCTTCTATGTCTCTCGCTTCTTGACTCTTCCTCTTTGTCTCTCTCTTCTTGCCTGTTCTTCTATGTCTCTCGCTTCTTGACTCTTCCTCTTTGTCTCTCTCTTCTTGCCTGTTCTTCTATGTCTCTCGCTTCTTGACTCTTCCTCTTTGTCTCTCTCTTCTTGCCTGTTCTTCTATGTCTCTCGCTTCTTGACTCTTCCTCTTTGTCTCTCTCTTCTTGCCTGTTCTTCTATGTCTCTCGCTTCTTGACTCTTCTTCTTTGTCTCTCTCTTCTTACCTGTTCTTCTATGTCTCTCGCTTCTTGACTCTTCTTCTTTGTCTCTCTCTTCTTGCCTGTTCTTCTATGTCTCTCTCGCCTTGCCTCTTCATTTAGAATAAAGGACTGGTCCAACAATTGCCTTGTGTGTGTATATATATATATATATATATATATATATATATAAAAAAGTTCTGCTGATTTCTATCATCCAATCATGTGCAATTAAAAATACTGTTTTATTGTTTTGTTATTTTCCTTGCACCTGATTGGGTATTCTTCAGAAAGTGAAGCTTCACTACATTGAGTAAACTTTGGGAAAAATTAGTGCAACTGTACTTCCAAAGTAAGCAATCTATTTGCCTTTAGTAAATCAACCCCTATAATTCCTAAATTTATTGCAAAGAAAAGAGAAGAGACATGTGGTAAAAATATGATCGGCACTGGGACTCCTGCCTTGCGGTGGTGGTGGTGTTGATAGAATTTTCAGCTAGACCGTGTCTGCAGGAAATTCTGCTTATTCCTGTTTTTGCATTAAGTTTTCAAAGAATTCCTAGTTTCCTCCCAGATTATAACTTCTTTTGGGAGCAGGGACCAGTATGAATAATTTAATGCTCAATTAATAAGGGGAGGATGGTTATGGGGATCAGAAGAAATGTTTAAGAATAAGACCTAAAATTGAGCATCTGTGTAACATTTAAAGGAATCTACATTTTGCTTCATTGATTAATACCATGTTTCTGATAATGCATGTGAAATAAAATGTATTCAGAAAAAAAACACACATCGGATTGCCAGACAGAGAAGTGTGATTTGTCACTCCAGAGAACACATCTACACTGCTCTAGAGTCCAGTGGCGGCGTGCTTTACACCACTGCATCTGACGCTTTGCATAGTACTTGGTGATGTAAGGCTTGGTTGCAGCTGCTGGGCAATGGAAATTCTTTTCATGAAGCTCTCTACACACTGTTGTTGTGCTAATCTGAAGGCCACATGAAGTTTGGAGGTCTTTAGTTATTGACTCTGCAGACAGTTGGTGACTTCTGTGCACTGAGGAAATTTCACGGATGGACTTATTGCACAAGTGGCAGCTTATCACGGTGCCGCGTTTGAATAAACTGAGCTCCAGAGAGAGACCCATTCCAATGATTTGGAGGGGTGTCCTAATACTTTTGGCAATATAGTGTATATACAGTGGGGCAAAAAAGTATTTAGTCAGCCACCAATTGTGCAAGTTCTCCCACTTAAAAAAATGAGAGAGGTCTGTAATTGGCATCATAGGTAGACCTCAACTATGAGAGACAAAATGAGAAAAAAAATCCAGACAATCACATTGGCTGATTTGGAAAGAATTTATTTGCAAATTATGGTGGAAAATAAGTATTTGGTCACCTACAAACAAGCAAGATTTCTGGCTCTCACAGACCTGTACCTTCTTCTTTAAGAGGCTCCTCTGTCCTGCACTCATTACCTGTATCAATGGCACCTGTTTGAACTTGTTATCAGTATAAAAGACAGCTGTCCACAACCTCAAACAGTCACACTCCAAACTCCACTAGGGTGAAGACCAAAGAGCTGTTGAAGGACACCAGAAACAAAACTGTAGACCTGCACCAGGCTGGGAAGACTGAATCTGCAGTAGGCAAGCAGCTTGGTGTGAACAAATCAACTGTGAAAGCAATAATTAGAAAATGGAAGACATACAAGACCACTGATAATCTCCCTCGATCTGGGGCTCCACGCAAGATCTCACCCCGTGGGGTCAAATGATCACAAGAACGGTGAGCAAAAATCCCAGGACCACACGGGGGGACCTAGTAAATGACCTGCAGAGAGCTGGGACCAACGTAACAAAGGCTACCATCAGTAACACACTACACCGCCAGGGACTCAGATCCTGCAGTACCAGACGTGTCCCCCTGCTTAAGCCACTACATGTCCGGGCCTGTCTGAAGTTTGCTAGAGAGCATTTGGATGATCCAGAAGAGGATTGGGAGAATGTCATATGGTCAGATGAAACCAAAATAGAACTGTTTGGTAGAAACACAACTCGTCATGTTTGGAGGAGAGAGAATGCTGAGTTGCATCCAAAAGAACACCATACCTACTGTGAAGCATGGGGTGGCAACATCATGTTTTGTGGCTGTTTTTCTGCAAAGGGACCAGGACGACTGATCCATGTACAGGACAGAATGAATGGGGCCATGTATCATGAGATTTTGAGTGCAAACCTTCTTCCATCAGCAAGGACATTGGAGATGAAACATGGCTGGGTCTTCCAACATGACAATGATCCCAAACATACTGCCCGGGCAATGAAGGAGTGGCTTCGTAAGAAGCATTTCAAGGTCATGGAGTGGCCAAGCCAGTCTCCAGATCTTAACCCCATAGAAAACCTTTGGAGGGAGTTGAAAGTCCGTCTTGCCCAGCGACCGCCCCAAAACATCACTGCTCTAGAGGAGATCTGCATGGAGGAATGGACCAACATACCAGCAACAGTGTGTGCCAACCTTGTGAAGACTTACAGGAAACGTTTGACCTCTATCATTGCCAAAAAAGGATATATAACAAAGTATTGAGATGAACTTTTAATATTGACCAAATACTTATTTTCCACCATAATTTGCAAATAAATTCTTTCCAAATCAGCCAATGTGATTGTCTGGATTTTTTTTCTTATTTTGTCTCTCATAGTTGAGGTCTACCTATGATGCCAATTACAGGCCTCCCTCATCTTTTTAAGTGGGAGAACTTGCCCAATTGGTGGTTGACTATATACTTTTTTGCCCCACCGTATATATATATATATATATATATATATATATATATATATATATATATATATGAAAAAAGAAAAAACAAGATGGAAAATGAAGAACAATAAGGTTATTCATGTTTTCATGTTTGGGGTTTGCACAAGATATGAAGTTGCTAACATAAAGAGCACTGGTCTATGTCTCCCTCTGAAAGACAATGGTGAGTGGCACATTCCTAGTGTGCATAACATAAAGAGCAATTGCATGGACATAAAGAATAGGAAAACATATTTACAGTTCAATCTATAATAAACTAGAGAAAAGCAGACGTTTCCCACATCATCACCTCTCTCTGTGCCATATAAACAATCTTATAAAGTAAACATCATTTTGTGGTACATCTCATGTAAGCACACAATGGATTAAAGTGGCAGTAAACTAATTTGAACTTGATGTATTCGTGGTTGGAGTGTGATGATATCACAATGCTGTTCCCACAATACTATAACTGGTAATGCACAATAGAAGCCTCAAAACATGTTCAGATACACAGGTCTCTCTATGTCTGCTCACAGGGTAGTTATTGTGCCACTTTGGGTGCTTCTAGTATACTGAATGGAAAGACTTCATCACTTGCTTTTCAAGGATTTACAAAATGATTATGTACCATCTGAAGGTTTCAGTGTTTTTACTATTTTCCTTGAAAATCTTACTGCTTAAATAAAGGGTCTCCAAACTTTCTAAACAAAGGACCAGTTTACTGAGGGCCGGACTGCGGCCAGTGAGTAGAAAAGGTCCTGACGTCAGTGGGAAAAAAATAATGCCCCTTTGGTGTCAGTGGGAGGACTTTTGCCCCATCAGTGATGTCCTTGGACCCTATCATTTGTGTCACTGGGAGGAATTGTGCCTCATCATTGATGTCATTGGAAGGAGTTGTGCCCCTTCATTGGTGTAAGTAGCGGAAATTATACCCAATTGGTATCAGTGGATGAAATAGTGTACCAAGGGTCAAATAAAAGTGAGCAAAGGGCCGCATCTGGCCCCTGGGCCGCAGTTTGGAGACCACTGGCTTAAATCTTTGTAACACACATTTAATTATCAAAAACAATGTTGCAATGTGGTATCAGTTGTGTACAATAAGATGAATGGTAATGTTCAGTATCTGAACATTACCATCACTTACCTCCTTTCCTAAAAAGGATCTAAACTCTGGAAGCTGTGGCCAAAAAAAAAAGGCAAGCAGAAGGCAAAGGACCAGTCATCAGCATTGCCTCTGATCTCCTTGAAGCTGATCTTAACATTACTGACTTCTCATAGCTTGTTCTGCTCTGTGGGGGCGATTCAATAAGGCCTTTGTGACACATTTTTGGAGGTGTGGGTGTAACTGAAAGCCTTACACCAAATTTATGAAACCCATAAATATTTTCATTGTTAGTACCAACATTGTGTCAAATTCATGTGGTTCTTGTTTTTCCACATAGTTACTGTCTATTGCCTTTTTTGTGACAATTTTCTAAAGAAATACAGCCATGTTGGTGATAAGGAAAATGGAGGTAAATA